TATAAACCAAAAATATTCAAAATAATAGTATGCATACATAATACTAAACATAGAACACAAAACTAATAAATGAGTAACTCCCAATATACTAAAGATTTCTCAAACTGTAAAGCACTCTTATGAGTAGTGTCTCCAAGAAAGATCTTGGGTTGATGACCTTTTGTAAGAGGATATGCTATCATGGAGTTTTTCCATAGGTGTTATATAGAAATTTGTCCACTTTGTACCATTTCCTTAACAACTAGGAACTTTATGTTAATATGTTTTGACTTAGTCAAGCTCCTATTATTGTTGGAATATAGGATAGTTGATTTATTATCATAGTATAACTCAATTGGTCCTTCAACACCTTCCATAATTCGTAGCTTGGTGACAAGGTTCCTCAACCGAATCTCATGATTAGATACCTTAAAAAATACTATAAATTATGCTTCAATGGTGGATGAAGCTATAAGAGTCTGCTTGGCACTACACTAAGAAACTACACCACCAACCATCGTGTAGATATAGCCTGAAGTGAATAATTTACAATCTTAGCATCCAACAAAACGTGAGTCAGAATATCTACAGATCTCCAACTAGTATGACCTACTATATGTGAGCATATAATATTTTGTTCTCTTTAAATATCTCATAAACAATTTGGTTGTTTTCCAATGATCTATTCCTAGATTTCTGAAATATATGCCTAAAATCCCAACTATGAACGCAATGTCTGGATGCATACAAACTTGGGTATACATCAGAGCCCCTACAACTGACACAAAAGGAATCTTTTGCATTTATTGAATTTCTAAGTTTCCTTTTGGGCACTAACTATGACTAAATTTGTCTCCCTTAGCAATTGGAGTATCCTATGGTTTACATTCCTACATGCCAAACCTTTTAAGTACCTTTTAGATATAGCTTATTTGTGATAATCCTAGAATACCTCAAGATTAGACTAGATGTATCTGAATTCCTAATACAAAGGAGGAATCACCAAGATCTTTCATTTCAAATTTTCTTGGTTTCGTTCATCATGCCTATATCATTAGTGGCAAGCAGTGTATCATTGACATACAAGACTAGGAAAATGTATTTGCTCCCATAATTTGTGATACACACAATCTTCAACAATATTCACCTTAAAACTAAATGAGAGAATTACTTCATGAAACTTGTGGCACCACTAACGAGACACCTGCTTTAGCCTATAATTGGATTTTATCAATTTGAAAACCATATTCTTTGAGTCTCCTGACATAAAGTTTTTTGGTTGCAACATATAGATTTTTTCATCAATGTTGCCATTGAGGAATACAGTCTTGACATTTATTTGATGTAGTTCCAAATCATAATGGGCAACAAGAGCCATGATTATTCTAAAAGAGTCTTTCGATAAAATCATAGATAAAGTCTCTTTAAAATTGATCCCTTCTTTTTGGGTATAACCCTTAGCTACAAGACGAGCCTTATACCTCCCCAAATTACCGTTAAAATCCTGATTGGTCTTAAAAATCCATTTGCAACTAATGGGTTTCATACCTTCTAGTAACGAGACAAGTTCCTAAACATTATTGTCTTTCATGGACTTATACTCCTCCTTCATTATTTCAAGACACTTTTTTGAGTTGGAATCATGCATGGCTTGGCGGAGGTTGAGTGGTCCATCTTCTATCATACTATTATTTTCCTCATGCTCTTGGAGAAAGAATATGTAATCATACGGAATAACATTTCTCATTTATTTATTGGATCTCCACAAATGTATTGGTTAATGTAACACTTTTTCTTAAGGATCTTGAGTTTGTTATTCTTGAGGAAATACAACAATGTATTGTGGAGTTTCCATACAAACTTGATCAAAAGCAACTATAGGAATCGGTTCTGAAGTTGTTACTGATTCTTCCTTTAAAACAAAGTCTCTAGCCTTATTCTTCCCCCAAACTCAATATCCTTAAAGAATGTGGTTGTTCCCGTTGATAACTGGAAATTCGTAGTTATTTTTGTATATAGTTTTGTGGTACCTATCCACTCTTTTTCCTCAACTTATGTGTGAATTTGTATATATTACGTATATTTGTCCATATTGTATACAATTGCGCTTTTGAGTAATTAGTGTACCATTTGATATATTTTCTTCTCTTTTGTAGGTATTTGAGCATGTTTGGAGCATAGAGTCATAAAGGGCAAAGCCTAAGCTTCAAGATGAAATTTTGAAAGAAGATAAGAGCTTCAGTTCAGGAATAGAATGGGTTTGTTTGTAAGATATGGTAATTAAAAATTATAAACATAAAAAGAATTTCATTCTTCGAATAGTAAAGAACTCTCAAGTTTGTATTTCGTCTACCCTATAAAATACTTAAACTTACTACCCAGTTGCACTTAACCTTAACTACTCGTCAATATCATCATGTATCGCTCACATATAGGTCATATGTAACACAAAGCAAGATATCAACCGCATCGCTCTATGTCAACGATCTCTCGGCACAATACAAAATAACACGAAGGCATTAAGAGTCAATACCTAAGTGATTACTAAGCCTAAATTTATCTCTAGAATCTAAGCCCAATAGATATTCATACTAAGTCCAGATTCAACCCATCCATCTCTATAACAACTCAAATCCAAATGCTTAGCAAGCTAGAAAGGATAAACATCAATAAAGATTTGTAAAGAAAGTTTCATACAACACCATGAGCAATAAATATACATATAATCAAGGTAAAGTTACATACAAAATCCAACAAATAATAATTACAAAGAGAGGAAGAGGAGAAGAAACCAAATTCTACACGGTGTCAAATATGATTCATCAAGCTCCCGATCCCGGATCATCCAATTGCAAGCCACAAATGTTGTTTTCTAAGCTCTAAATATCAAATAATGAAGGTGATGGTGTTTGGGAACAAATACCCCAAAAATTATAACCTAGAAAATGAACTAAAATCTATTTTATAAAACTATTCTCAGCAGACCGCGCTTAGCGGCCTCAGCGCGTTAAGCGGGTTGCGTGATATTTACACATTAAAACGCATAAACTGAACTAAGAGTGTTATCCGCTCTAAGCGGGCTCAAAAATTATGCTTCTACCAAACTTCATAAAATCACTCACAACACACTACTTTTAGCGTGCCTGCCTAGATATAACTTTCTCAAAATGGTCTTTTATTCCGAAAACACGCATCCGGAGTTGTGCCTTCGACACCTTATTCCTCGATGCTCCAAGTATGCGACAAATGCCTATAAAATAGACCAAAACTATCAAACGGTACACTATTTACATAAAAACACAATCACTCGCAAAGTAAACGTATTTACAAACAAAGCGGGGAATTATTCAAAGAATATTAACAACAGTACTGATAAGTGCAGCAAAACTTATATACAAAAATAACTACAATTTGCACTTATAAAACTCTCCCCAACTTGAACTTGTTTGTCCTCAAAAAAGGCCAAACAACTCAAAGAACAAAGAAACAATAATCAAAGAATCACGAATCATTAGGTTTTTAAAACGGAAAACAAATTTATGGTTCAAAATAAAAACGTACACCCAAGGTAAAAACTTACCACTAAACTACAACGATAACTTGAAAACGAAACAAATCCTAAATACAAAGAACATGTCAAAAATTCTAAAATAATACAGTGTTCACAAGTGAATCACACCTAGCACACCCTTTATCGGTAGATGAAAAACAAGAACATGAGGTGCTCAACTCTCACCCAACAATCTTGCTAACAACAACTAAATTATGCATTCATCAAAGTAATTCATATTGAAAAGCACAAAAGTAAAATCACAAGGGCTTCAAGGGTTGTAGTGTGGCTTGGGTAACAAGGAAGGGTTAATATATAAGGTAATCGAAACAAACAAAAATGCCTAATCCTATGGGAGTGATCAATTCACAAAGTCTCAAGCACCGCTCAATCAACCTTTTCAACTTTCCCAAATGTTATACCAACACAAAACTTTTTATTTGATACTTTTTTTCTTTGTCAAAACTTTTTCTCTTTATTTTTTTCTTTTCTTTTTCACACACATTTTTTTTCTTTTTCTTTTTCCACCATATTATTTTTTTCAACCTCAAACAACCATCTTATAAACAAGCAACATTTCTCTCCCTAACTTAAACACGACCACACATAGTGACAAATTGCTCCCACTTTCTAAGGCGAGAAAAAATTCAACCACGATACACGGTTGAGGGTTAATTACCAACAAACAACATTAAAATCCATGATGAATTCTAACTAAAAGGCTCAAAGGGGTTCAAAAATGATCGCTCACTTACAAGGTGAATGACTTTTGGTTAGGTGGTTTTTCTTAAAATCAAACAAAATGTCTTGATAATTTCATGCTTTCATACGAATCAACATAAATACAAGATTAAACATAACAAAATTAAGTTAAAACAAAATTGTCGGTCTCCCGTGCATATAGTAAACAATGGATAGCAATCTCACAAGGGGTTTAGTCGTAAAGTGATTCAAAAGTGAACACAAATTGAATGAGGGAAGTGTTTTTGAATTATTGGGAATTTGTCATGCAAGAATTTACAAGGTTTTGTTCATTACAAATTCAAGTGATTACACCAAAGCTACAAAATGCATCTCATTCAATCAAAATCTGAGCATACTGCAAGACTTATTCAAAGGGGAAATTAAAAGGCTGCCATCTGCTACAAAACCGGTTCAACCCTGCACCTATGCACAAAACCAAGCTAGCTTCATTACAAAGTAGGAAGACACTTCAGAGCAATTCATGTTCATGATACGAAACATTGTTATCTTGTCTCAATGCAAGGTTACTCTGCACAACTGAGAAAAATAGAATAAAAATAGTCGCATAAGCATATCATAACGGATAAAGGCTAACTAAAAGCTTAGGCTTCCTGCTGTTTGTTGGTGAAGACCAGAAATCGGACCTCGATATTGAGTAAAAAAAACGGTCCTGAAAAACCTGCAAGTTCCTCATACCAAACTCAGCTCTTGCACCAATTATCCAAAATCAAGTCATGCAAGGGGAAACACCAGAAGAAAGTGAAATCAGATCCAGAATCAGTTCATGAGTGTTTGCAGCCCTGCATATATTCAGACAAAATAATAAGGTTAAAAAAATTCAAATGAACCACCCTGCACTTAGCTAACATATTTTCATTTTCTTTCTCTAACTATCTTTGTCATTTAAGTTTCCACAAATAATTTTGCAGTTTACTAATAGGTTTTCTAGTGGATTCAATTAACCCTCTTTAGCTAATTGTGTATAATCCATTTGCTAATGGTGAGAAAAACTAACTTATTAAGCGAAACCATTTAATCAAGCAGCTACCCATACCATTCTTATATTTATAAAGCACCATTCATGACAGTATAATTCTCTAGGTCATAAGCAAATCATTAGTCCATTCTAAGTCTAAGTATATTGTTTGGTATTCGCACTTACTCGTACGCTTCGAGCTTCAACCATACGCAACCATATACTGCGAGCAGTTCACCAACTGATGCCTATAGTAGCTAGCGTGATGTCATATTAGGGAAATGATTGTAAGAGAAACTTTGGTCTTCTCAGCAAGGTGCTAGGAAGTTGGATCATGATATACCATGCTTCCTGAGCTGTATAAAAGAAAATTAGCACATAATACAAGTATTAAAGCCGCTTCAACTTACATGTTCATGATAAGAAATTCAGTAAGAAATTGTGCATAACAGAAATACCAGTTTTTTGAGTTCTTAACAAGCTTGTTAACCGAATTCACCAGATTCATCGCTCCGTAGGACATTTTCATCGTTTCTCCTTGACTTAATCGATGGCTTTCCATAAACATGTTACAAAAGCAATTTCCCAGCATATGTGCATAGCAAAGTAATGGCCCTGTTACATCTACAACATACGTGTATCAAGAAATTCACAAGAATTCAATAATTCAGAAAATATTAGAAATTTCAGTCCAGTACAGTAAAGCCTTAAAAAATGGGAAAAAAACAAGTTTCAATTGGAAGATTCAGTTCAATCTCAATACACTCAGATCAGGGCGAGTGAATGAAAACAAGAAAAGATTGCATCATTTGAAAAGACACAAAAAGAAACTTATAACAGTTTATAACAGAATCCAAACTAACTGAAACCAAAACAATTTTTCAGTCCATAACTAACTACTAACAGCTTAACAGAATCTCAAACCGATTTTCGAGCCCCTAACCAGTTCCTTCTCCCTATTCAAAACTAACAAACAGTCTAAACACTCCTAACTAATTTCATAACAAACTCTAACTATCCTAACTGTCAAAACATAATTTTATAACTACCTCCCAACTAACCAACTATAACTGAATCAGTTACAGATAACAACACTAATAGAAATATAAAAAGAGAAGCTTACCTGGATTCATTCATTCTTCAACGGGCAGAAGAATCAGAAAATTCTCTCTTCTTCCTCTCCCAAAACTTTACTCTTCATCTACTTCATCATTCCTTGAATCTCCAGAAAATCACCAAAAAGAATTATCTCTCTCTGAGCTCGCATCACTGCAATCTTGATTCTTCACTTCTGAAAAAAATCACAGAAGATCAGAAACTCTCTCTTCTCCACCATTTTTCCCCTTCACCATTCACCAACAAACCGCAGCCACTTCACATCCTCAGTCAACTTCAACCTGGCCACAACCACCTTCAACCTCTCTTCTTCTTCCACTCTCTGAAACTCTCTCATCCTCATCACACCTCAAGCACCATCTGCGAACAAAAACAACACCATTTTTGTAACATTCATCGCGAAACAGAACATGTAGTAACAATAACAAAACTCAAAACACAGAAGAATGAGAAGATCGAGAAGTAGAAGAATAAGTCGCGCAAAGAGTTAAGGGATTTCGTACCAGAATGTGCAAGAATCTCTGGTTTTCGCATCATCTTCATCAATTGTAGACGCACCGAACGAACTTTGGTAGGTAAGCCTTGCGTTTTTTTCTCTTCAATTTCTTGGACAATGATGAATGATAGTGGCGGTGCTGCGTGTTAATTCGATCTGGGAAGAAGAGAGGAGTTCAAGACTTTGTTCCATGTGGATGTGGAAAGCCATGATTCTGAACCCTATCCAAACGATTGCGTTAGATTTTTGTTCTTCATTTTATTCCTTTTAGTTTATTTTAAAATCATGTGCTGAACCATAACCATTTTTTTGATGAATTAAGGTACAAAAAAATAGTTTATTTGACCTCTACTGATTGGGCCATACGCTGCAATTGCTTGCCAAACATCCTGTTCTAGTTCTCACCCTCTCTACCAGGCCCGTTTCCTGTTTTTGGGCAACATTTTTTTTCTTGAGAACAAAAAATGGTTGATTGGACTTACTAATTGGGCCTTAGCGCCAATATTCTGCACAATACTCCAAGATTTTGACTTGCACCCCTAAAGCCGATAATATCTGATTTTTGGACACTTGGAAGCTTGCAACAAAAACAAACTCATGAACTTAGTTTAGATGGGCCTAGCGCCTAGATTTCTTCAACACCCCTGGATTTTGGCTTGCACCCCCTGAGTATATTCTTTTAGTATTTTCTTTTAAATAATTTTGATAGTTGCTTAGTTTTGTTTGAATTTTCTTTACATGATAAAAATAAAAAAATCAATAAAAACTTCTAGATTTTTTATTATTTTAGTTTTAGGAAATTAAATTCCTATTATCTGATTATATTTGAGACAATAATTCACCTTTGCTTGTTGAGATGTGAATCTTATGCAGGTTTATTGTGCGATATGCGGATGCGCTTTATATTTTGATTGTGATTTATTTTCACATCGATGATGCATCGATATTTATCTCGAGCATTTGATTCTTGACTCTTTTCTCTTTGCTTAGTGAAGCTTACTCTAAGTTTTTCGGATTCCTTTGTTTTGATACGCTTTGCTACAGATTGATATTCGTTTGGTATTTTCCCTTGCTTATCTCATTTGCTATATGCGTTGTGCTTGTGTTTGTTTCCTTGATTGTTGATCGATGATTCACTCAATTTAGAAATTTAGATCACAACTTCACTCTCAGTGCATGCTCCCTATAGGATTTTATCACTTTCCTTGATTTCTTGTTGATCGATGAGTCACTCAATTTATAAAGTTGAGATCACGACTTCGCTCTCATTGTATGTTCCCCATAGGATAGTTTTGTTATACTTTCTTTGGCATGATAACCTAGATAAGATCTCTCTAGGTGTGTTCTCTTGAGCTTATTGGCTTGTTTGCTTGATTTCGTCTTTGTGTGCATGTTTTGAGATGATATACCCTCTACATGTTCCCTTAGGAGCTCTCGATTCAACTATAAGTGATGATTCAAGATAGACATAGTTTTAGGTGATAGACCCTTGCTATTCTCCTTTAGGACTTCTTGATTCATCTATAGATGATGATTTGAGATAGACATTAGGATTGTAATCCAAGCATGTCAGTATAGGGTAGAGATTTCCATTCAAAACTCAACCATAGGACCACCATTGTATGATAACATTAGGGATAGATTTAGGCTAGTATCCCTTAGATGTTTTTCTTCTTTTGCATTTGCATTAAAACAAAAACTTCTTTTTCTTGCAAACTTCAAGACACTTAAAGATTACTGATGAGAGTCATACCTTTATTGAGCATGGGAAATTATAACCGGGTTTCTTCTCAATCTTATTGTTCTTCCATTCTAAGCCTTGGTGTGGTTCAAGTCTCAAAGACTTATTTCATGAATAAGTAGAGAAATGGATAATATCTCTCTCCTAAGATTAACTAGTTGTTATCTATAGCAAAAACTTTAACCAACGCAAACTCTTTTTGCCTACAGGCTTTTCTTTCAACCTTTTCAAAAGAATAAGTTAATTCTCTTCTGTACTGACGCGTAAGTCTCCAAAGGTCGAGTTGCGGCAGAAGGCGAAATTAATATTTGTTCATTAAAAAATACAAACCAACCAAAACATTTGAAGACGAACTACGGATGCTCTGGTTCCTTAAAAGGGATACATAGGCATTAGGGTAGGGCCCGAACAAGCACAACTTTTATTTTCCCTACATTATTTTCTCCTTTCTTTTGCATGCATTCCTTGTACAACTTAGATAAATTTGAAACACACCCTGTGATTAGAACAACAAGAATGGATACCATAGAGTACTACGAGCGTATGGACTGCTAATACCTTCCCCTCGCGTAACAGACTCTCTTACCCGATCTCTCGGTCGTTTGATCGTGATTTCACCCTTCTCAGGTTTACTCGATGTTTACCTTTCCCTTCCCGTGGGATAAAAAATGTTGGATGGCGACTTCATTTATTTCATTATCAGTTGATTATTCAGTCGGTTGTTTCAGCTCTAGAATCTTCTCAACTGAAGCACCCTCTCTCTTATGCATGACCAATGCAAACAAAAGTTTCTGGTGTCGAAGCATCAAACTCTTTAGCCTGAAGAGAAGTTGTCTCAGGCATGAGCACGGTTTGCTTTTTAGGCATGGGTTCATGTGTCTGAGTCTCAGCATCCTCTGCACTAGGATCCAAGTTCCTTCTAGTTGTCCTTTCTATTTGATTGACAACTGCTCTAACATCTCCAACAATAACATGTGGATGAATAGATGTCGAATTGGTTGTCGGAGGCGTTCTATACTTGATATTGGAGAAGTCACCATGCTAGAAAGAATTACTTGTTTGTACATGGAAGGTTTTGAGATTAATATTTACAAGCTTCACAAATAAAAAGGGTCGAATCAATATTAGAGTTGGCAAATAAAGGGAGTCAAGGAAAAGTAAAGGAAGGCAACAAATTACTTGGGAAACATCTGGGTGTGGACATGAGTGTGCACTTCTTAGTCTCTAAGAAGGTTTACAAGGGGATATTTGACCTCTTTTATTCCTCCTCATTCCAGAAGTTTCATCTTTTCTAGTATCTTCTTCATCAAAAACCAAAATGGTTTCTTGTCTAGCCCTCTTTTTCTTATTTCTTTCTCCTATCGGAGGCCAAAAGACTTAGCAGGGGCCTTATATTCACCTTGGTCTACAAAATTGATGTGGGAAAATATGGTACTTGTGTCTGTCAGATATTTTGGAGGGATAGGTGGAGGAAATTGCGGGGCTCCGTCAATAATTTCAAACTCTGCCTCTTTTTATGGAGACTAGCACGTGTCATCAAAAGTAAATAAGATGAAAGGTGAATTTAAAAGGAGTAAGGATCAAAGATAATATGCACCATAGTTTCTTCATTAGTTGAGGCCTCATTTCCCTTGCTCTTCTTTCTCGAAGTCTCTACAGCAGAGGTGGTACTTTCTTTCTTTCGACCATGAAGGAGAATTTCAAAAGGTTAGGAAGTTTTAAAAAATTAATAATCTAAAGGAAAATAAGGTTGAAAATTATATCTGTGAAGCTTCTTGGGTCAGCTCAAACCTCACTCATGTGTTACTCGTTTCTTGAGGAATGTTCATCAATGATTTTGGATCTTAGGAAACACCTGAGAAAAACAAAAAGAAAACAATTGAAATGGATTACCTTTGCCTTTCTTGTCTAAGTCCCACAGAAAGGAGAAAGCCTCAATCAGGCATTGAGATATGAGGCGAGGATAAATGTTCCACCACTCCTCAAAATCCTTAATGTAGTGGAAAGAGAGATAAGGCTAGGGAATGATGGAACACATGATTCATCTTGAAGAAATATTGACAACTCTTAAGCCATTTTCCACCTAGTTCGTTAGTGAAGAAGAAGAGAACATCGATGATAGAGATGAAGGATTTGGGTAATAGTTTGCTTAAACCAGACTGCCTAGCCACTAAGTTGGGTTGATAAGCAACTGCCAGTATCCATGTTTTAGAAGAGTTGAGCTTTGTCCATAGAGGATCAAGTTGGAAGCATGCCAATTAGGTGTCATGAATATCCCTCTCTTCATTGCGTGAGGGGTGTGAAAACAATGTCCTGAACTAAGTAGGTCCACACTGTCAATTAGAAAATGGTGCCATGGTCAAGTCAAATTTTTCAAATCTATAAAACATATCAAATTATTTCTTAAGAGCCTACTTAGATGCAACTTTTCCATCATTTGGAGTGAGTTGAGCAAGTATCGCACCTTCGACACCCACCTCTGTGTTAGGAGGAATGTTGGTTTTTAGAGAAGGTTCAAAAGTGACGTTGAGCCACAACTGCATGAGCCAGATGGGTCCGCCTACTTGGAGACTTTCGGGATTATTTCGTTGTTTGAGGTCACACGATTCTAACCTCAAAGATTCGTAGAGGCTACATAAAACTAGTTTTCTTATGCAAACCTTCCTCCTCTCATGAAGTTGGGTTGCCAGAGGTACAAAGTATGAAATGTACATTTCTTTGCATGCCAAGCGTGATATTAGGACATTCATTCTTCACATGTCCAGACATTTTGCAAAAGAAACAATTACCATCTTATTTTTGTTTCTTTTGTGTTGGAAAATTTTCAACTTCATTCTTGGGCTCATTAGTTTTCTTTATTTTGCACATATCTTTAGAGGTGCCAATAAAATGAGCACTTTATATTTTATCTTACTTCATCATTTCCTCTTCATACTCACAAAATAAAATGAGCTCATTAGGAGACCGTTTTTCCTTTTGAAAGTTATAAGATCTCTTAAACTGTCACAATTGTGAAAGAAGAGAAAGTAATACTAAATGAATGATCAATTCTTTTGACAACTCAAGCCTTAGTGGCTTAAGTTTTGAAACAATGTTTAACATGCCC